TATGATCAGATTTTAAGACACACTTCACTGTATTATTAATAATAAGTGACAACGGTCATTGGCTCTCTATTACAAGAGTTATATCTTACTCTGTGACTGGCTTAGAGCAAAAAATGTGTTAAGAAAACTAACTTTTAAAAAAATATGTTTAAGGGAGCTCTGGTGGCCTAGTGGCAAAGAAGATGCACTGCAATCCCAGAGGTACACAGTATGAATCCACCAGATGCTCTCCTGGAGAAGGAGGGACGATCTCCTCCTGTACCAGTCAGATTCAATTTGACGGTATACACACAAATAATAAAATTAATTAAAAAAAATTTTAAAATATGTTTAAGGACAAATGAATACAATTAAATTCCTCAAAAGGAAAACAAATTGAACTTTCTGATCTGAAAAAAAATTACTACAACTCAAAAAGACACACCAGAGGGACTGACCTAGACACCAGAGCGAAATTTCTTTACATATGATAGTATTCATTTCACAATTAAAACATTCTTTTTTAAAAATTATTATTTTATACTGGTTTACTTACAAAGTTTGTATACATTATTTTTCACACCGGATCTATCCCAGGTCCTTTACCCACCCCTCCCTCCACCCACCAAACTGTAGGACCCTAAGATTAACCACTCCCCACCCCCACCACAGCACTCTTTGTAAAACATATTAGCTTCTTTTCCACTGTGTCCTTTCCCCTGAAATATCTCAACAGATTACTCGGGTTTCCTTGCACATAAACTACCTCCACAGTCATTTCTGTTCATTTTTATAGAAACAACCAGTAAAATGTTTAAGGAGGTCAAATCAAGTTCACTACCATAAGATTAAAAGGCTGTCAACAGACACAGAAGAGTTTTCGTTTTGGTAGGTTTTTTGAAGTTAGTAGTAATATTACCTTATGATCTGACTTAAAAACATCCCCAAGAATTCACTATTTTCTTCCAGTGTTTTATTTTCTTTGTATACAACTGCTCTCCGAACTCATTTAACTATCTCATCTTAGACTCTCCAAAGAGCTATTTCTAGCTAGCACTCTTACAGATTAAATAAAAACATCCTCTCTTTCTCTTGACTGGTACCTTCATTAAACTATCTTTCCTATTGCTGTAAAATGGACATAAAAAGTACTAAAATAATGTCCTATTAATTCTAGAGTTGAACATAAAAGAATGTGTTCACTAAGTCCTTTTTTTCCTAATGTTTTCTGTATGTTTATAATTAATTTCTTAACTTCATGCCCGTGTTAAATTATAGTAAATTAAGACTAACAGCCAAAGTGTTTATATCCTTTGTTTCTGAAGCATCCATTCTAAAATATTTTAAAATTATTTTACTTATTCAGTCAGAATACTATTTGATACGCCACCTCTCCTTTAGCTTCTATTTCATCAACAGCATGAAGAACCAGTTTATGTAACTCAACCAGATTCTCTACATAGAGTTTTCTCTTTTCCTTTAAGTTCACAAAGGTGAAAAATCTAATTCAAAAATCTCTCAACAAGGAAACTATGAATTTAACAAACAGATTAACTTACTGAAAAAATCTTTAAAGACGTTTATCCAATCCATTTTGAATAAAACTCCAGGGTTCTCTTTGGCCAGATTGTTTCACAGCTCTGGATAATTTTCAGTGAACTTCCTGGTCTGTTCGGCAATACTGAAACTTCCCACACCCAATCCATGTGACTTGGCTCACAACCAGGTAATAATAATAATACACAGTTTTTCTGTGGCTTTTCCCCCCCTCTTTTCAAAATATCTGTATTCTCTCTAACCAAGGAAATAACCTGAAAAGCCTCTTACTGAGATGTATATTTGGAAGAAACTTGAAAGCTAAAGCATATAGACCTTTTTTAATGCTAAAAAAAGATAGTTAAACATTTCTTCTTTCCTTTTGTTTTAATTCTTTTTTCTTAACTTTCAAAAGTACTCCCAAGAGCACAACCATTGTGAAACAAATCCATTAATTACAAGACATTTAAATTACTGAAAACTAGTCCAGAGATTCTGACAAAGAAGGAAAGCTGACTGATGCAAAAGCTGGATTAAAATCATCACGATACAGTTTAAGGAGAAATCTGAAGCTTAAGACAGATTGTTCTTAGTCACCCTGGATACAGGGAGCACAACTTACTATAGTTAGGAGATTTTCTAAAATAGTTAATAAAAGTTTGAAGTATTAACACATTCTTTTAAAAACTGTAATTTGGGTTTTAAAAATATACATAAAATAACACCTAACTGGGATTATGTCCTCTTTGCTGGATAACGTTAGTTTCCACTCCAGTCCTGGAAGACAAGTGTCCTTGTTCACAGCAACAAGCCCTGGTAGGGTCCCAATTCTATGCCTTTTCCACTAGCAGATGTATTATCTTGACAAAAGTTATCTTCATTTTCCCCAATACCACTAATCAATGTGTTCTGGGTTATTTTCTCATTTCTTTTTTTTTTTTTCTTGTGTACTGTCGCGCTGGATCCGACTGGCACAGGAAGAGATTGCTCCTCCTTCTCCAGCAGAGCACCTGCTGGATCTGCCTTCAGGATTTTAGCGCAGCTGCTGGCCATCAGGCTACCAGAGCTGTAACCAAGGTGTTTTACATAAATGTTGTGGTTGGTGTTGTTATGCGCCATCAAGTCACCTGTGGCTCTTAGTGACCCTATGTACACCGGCTCTGAACCCTGCCCTATCCCAAGCTAATCTCATCCTCTCCCACAGACCTAATCCCATTTCTCCAGGCACTGAGTCGATCCATCTCAGCCTGGGTACTGAGTATCTAAAAAACCAGAAGTATCTCTGATCGTTACTCTGGATTCTTCAATTGCTCAAGGAAAACCTGTGTGGGCCTCCATTCAGAAATCATTAAAAATAATGTCTTATTTTCAAAACTGTGAAATCTAGAGAAGGGAAACTTACTCAGATACCAGGGCTAAATGTCATGGAAAAAATTTAGATTAATAACTCCATCTATTATTATATTGCTTTCAGGATGCTAGAAAATGTTTTAGAGCTCAGAAATCAGTATTTTGGGGCGTTTCTTTTTAACTTTTTGAGCTGTATTTTTAGCTTTTATATTAAACTGGTTTAAAACTTTAAACATCTGTCCTCTATTGATGACAATTAAAATGACAGTCTAAAGTAACTGTAACATGGAGTAAGAAGTCTACCAATAATACTTCCTATCTGTTAATCATGCTATGCTGTTGCTACTGTTACGTGAACAAAAGATCTGAACCCTGTTCTGTAACAATCATGGTTTCTTTAATGTTCACTGAGTTTCCAAAGGCATGTTGTTTAGGAAGTGGGTGTCAATCCTGCTTCCAAGCCTGTCTTGTCTTCATCTGGGAGCTCTATGCTATATTGCTCCCAAATGATTTTTGCAAAATGAAATTGTACTTTTTCTCTACACACAGGGAGCTCGAGTGGGCTGAGGAACGAAGAGTTATGCTGTCACACCAAAGAGCAGGTGTGACTCCGCCAGTGCTCCTCAGACAATCACACGCCATCTCCTCTCGTATGATTTACCTCGGAAACCCTGCTAGATAGGCAACTCTAAGTCAGTTCCAGTTCAACAAGGAGTCTGTTATTCTACCTACACGTACAGTCCTATTAAACAGGAGCATGCTTGCCAGAAGACTAAAAATTCACTTCTGTCCCTCCCAATTCCTTCCTGTTAGCCAAGGAGCTTGGGGGTGGGGAGGGGTAAGGAGCCCCCTCCCGTGCACATTTCCTTCCTTCCTATCAACTCAGCCAAGCCCTGAGGGAAGCAGACTGTGGGTTCTGAGCCTATTAAAGGAAAGATTTCTTTTTGAAAGAGTCAAAAACAAAACCCACCAAAACTTTTTATGTATTTAAAGAGAGTCAGACCCGCTATTGCTGAGTCAACTCCAATGCCTAGCGTTCCGAGAGGAGAGAACAGCGGTGCCCATGTCGTCTCTGAGGCTGTACGTACCCTCAATGGAAGTGGACTGCTCCATCTTTCTCCCACGGAGGGGCTGGTGGATTTGAACTGCTGACTCTTTGATTAGCAGTAGTTTACTACCGTACTGTCGCATCACATAGTGACCCTATGTACAACCCTGCTCTAAGGAGGGAAAGATCAAATCTGCACATGCTGACCTACCGTCATGATTCAGAGCTCTAAACTCTTATTAAACAATGAAATGGTGTTTTATTTTGAAAAGCTGAAACAGAGAATGTGAATGTGTTACACGTTACAATACCAGCAATATGCCATTGTAAAAAAAATTAACTCGACGTCAAGGACGTGATCTTGCATCTCTCTGGTGCATCCTAAATCAGAGGTAGAATGTGCTTAAAAATCTGTTTTATCAGTGCCACCATTTAACACAAAGACCACAAGTGGGTGGCTTTAACCCACAGAGATTTCTTTTCTTACTGTTTAGGGGGCTGGAAGTCTAAATTCAGGATATTCTGTTTGCCCTAATGGGGAAAGTATCTATTTCAGCTTTTCCAACCCACCAGCTATGGAGTCCCGAGGCCTGTCAACATTTAAGATAGTGCTGGTCTTCTTGGTGTTGAATTTCTTCTTTACCTAATTTGCTCTTCAGTATCTAAAAAGCCATGGGTTTAAAATGCAGATAGGATCTTATTAACAAAGAAAGCTTTATATGCAAATAGGATTATATCTACAAGTTCAGGGGTTAAGATTTACAACACATTCAATGGGGGGAAAACTTCAACCCCTAACAGTCTCTGAGCCCACAGTAACTCTCGCTCAGAAGCTCTTCGAGAAGGTTCTGTGCATTCACACAACTCTGGTCTGATTCAAACTGGGACCAGATCTGCCTGCCCAGATTAATAAAACTGCCATGGTTGTCGCCACGGGCCAAACTTACCTTGTCTAGCTAGAATCAAGATTTCTGGTCTTTTCATGCCAATTCTGCCCCCCTGCTGGCAAAGTTGGATTTCAATTAAAAGAAAGTGGTTTTGTCTTTTGAATTAAAGTTACCTTTAATTTAATTACCTTTACTCTTACCTAAAGTATCCTTGAGGTTTTTTACAATAGATGCCTTCCGAGCACTGTTTTTCCTTTCCACGTAGTTAGAAGGCACGAAGCCCGTTTTATTCATGGAATTCCGCACGCGCCACCAGGACTTGGAGTCATCCAGGAGCCACAGCCTTTCGTTCTTCTTGATGTCCAGCTCTTGCTCTTGTTGGGCCACATAGTCAAATTTGGCCACCACCACCACTTCCTCTGCCATCTTTCAGCAGCTGCAGCACTGGAAGAACACAGAAAATGTGCTTATGTAAGAAGGACGTTCTTCCTTCGAAAGAACTCTTCAACCATCTATCTGCATTATGCAGATGACCCAACTCTGTTTGCTGCAACTGAGGAGGACTTGAGGCATTTGCTGCAGAAGATCAAGGACTGCAGCTTTCAATACAAATTCAAGCTTAACATCAAGAAAATAAGGATCTTCACCACTGGGCCAATTGACAGCATCACAATAGAGGGGAAAAGAGATTGTTAACAGCTTCAGCTTGCTTGACTCCAAATCAATAATCTTGGTACCAGCAGTTAGGAAATTAAATGACAAATTGCATTGTAAAAATCTGCTGTCAGGGACCTCTCTAGAGTTCTGAAAAGCACTGCTAAGAGATCAAAGAGGTTTATCCTGGAAAGGGCGAAATCAGACATCTGAATTTTTATTCATTCATAGTTGTAACTGCATTTTATTCTGTAGACTTTATTGTTAAAATATTATAAAGTTAAAATATTTTCTCTTACAATTGAAAAAAAAAGAATGACGTTCTTGTAGTTTTCACTGCAAGACTGAAAGGGGGAAATGTAACCAGAAACCTAAACAAAGGCCAGACTTTGGGAAAACTGGAGGCTTGAACGACCCACAGCTGAAGAGCAGAGGGAGCTACACAAACAAGGAGTTCCAGAAATCTGCACATAGGCTCTCTCCAGCGTTAAGCTGCATAGGAAATTGCTAATGCAAAGAGAGGGACTCTGGTGGCCTAGTCGTAGGAAACTGTACTACAATCTCAAACACACTGGGTTCGAATCCACCAGGTGCCCCACGGGAGAAGGATGGGCAGTCTCCTCTCAGGGGGCTGACTCCTCCCTTGTGATTAACTGCCTCTGAAAACCCACGTGAGGATCACAGCAACAACAACAACGCATAGCTTAAAATCTTAACATGCTGGACAAAGAACCACCTCTACAGTGAGAATAACTATGAGAAGCTATAAGGGGACCAGTAGAAGACCTAACAAAAGACTGTGAACTGTTCCTGTTCTCATCAGTCACAACAGAAATGTCAATTCGGATACACAGATCACTACCAGGGAGAGTCCTTGGAAGGGAAGTCTGAGAGCCCAGGGAGTGCTACCCTGCAGACAAGGGCAAAGCAGCCTAAGTCATCAACGACAAAAATGCATGAGAAGCCACAAGGTACCTATGGAGACAGAAGGATTAATTATATCATACAGTAGTCTGCATCAGATGCTCTAGGATAAGAGACAGAAACCAAGGACATCTGTGACAAGTATGGACTTTAGCTCATTAAAAATGAAACAAGCAGCAAATACTAACCAGAACCTAGTCAGGATAGCTATTGTCATACAGGCTCTCACACGCTCATTTCCATCAAGTCTGAAGCTACTCACAGCTGACAAGTCAGCAAGTTTGCAGACCCTTTAAATCACAAGGGAGAAGGCTGCACATCTCTCTCCCGCAGAGCGACGGGTGGATTTGAATCTCCTGCCTTTGGGTTGGCAGCACAATCCTCTATCCACCAGGCCACCAGAGCTTGTAACAGACTATGTACAATATGTAATATGTTTCACATAATATATGAAAAAGGTTAATATATCATACAAAATTAAGACAAAAGCATTAACAGCATTAATGACATTTACTACACAGATAAAATATCTTACAAATAAGTCTAAATTTAAATGTATTTGATGGCATAGTTTGAAAAGAAACAAAGACTCCACATGGAGAACCTGAAAAATCCATTGTCACGGAGGTAATTTCTAACATAATCATCAAACAGACAAAAATAATTTAGTCTAGGATTGAGAAGTTGAATCACTAAGTTGAACTGAACAGATGTATACAAACATTCTCTACAACAATTAGAGAAGACAAATGGGATTCTCAATACAACACAGCGGTGGTTGTCAGGTGCTGTCGAATCGACCGTGACTAAGTGGCCCTCTCAACAGCCGATGTGACCTTGCCCTATCCTGTGTCATCCCCATCAGCTCTGATGAACTTGAGCCCATTGTTAAGTCACTGTGTAAATCCATCTCACTACGGGTCTTCCTCTCGTTCACAGGCCCTCCACCCTTGGCACGACACCCTTTTCCAAGGACTGGTCGCTTCTAACAACATGCCCAGAAGGCACGAGACGAAATTTCACCATCCTTGCCTCTAGACAGATTTGCTCTTTGGGCATCCGTGAGATGTTTGTCAACACTGCAAATCAAACTAAATGGAACACATAAAGATGTACATTCTAAGCATTAGTGAGCTGAGATAGGACTGTTATTGGCCACTCTGCATCAGATGTTGTCATTAAGTATCAGATCCACTATGTCCGGTATGAAAACCTGTTGCATGCAAAGTCAAGAAACCTATCTCAATCTATCCAGATCTTTCCGGAAATGCAATGCTGTGACAGGATACTATCCATATGCAGACAAGGAAGATCTGTTAATAGGACTGTTATTCAAACATATGCACCAGCAACTGAAGCCAAAGATGAGGAAACTGAGAACCTTTGCAGTATGAACTAAACTAAATATGCCTCTGAAAGCCACTGGCCGATCAGCTATGTATGGGTTCCAACTCGATGCTACACAATAACACCATCACCACCACATTATTTAGAGGGGCACAGTACAGGTAGTAAGGATTGTTTCATTTATTAGTCAATTCGTCATTAAGTTTGTCATTTTGTTGGATGACATCCAGGTGTGGCTTGAGTTCTTAAGTTTTTAAGGGCATTCCAGGATGAAAGTCTCAAGGTTTCCTTTTGTTTCCACTGGGCCAGGAATTTCAGCCTTTTCTTTTGTAGAAATTTACATTTTTCTTCCAGTCTGTCTGGGAGTCCCTATTGTATCCCTATTCAGAGAGCTGACAGTGGCAAAGAGTACCCAGTTCTGTTCTCACGGCAGGTGGGGCTGTGGTCCATACAGACGACCTGAACCAGGAGACTAAACTGCAAACTCGTTTGCTTTTTGAGTCTTTGGTTTCCTTTTTTCTCTTTTGCTCTGGATGAGCACAGACCAGCTGCTTGCCATTTCAAAGATTCCTTCATTAACAAAACAGAAAACTCTCCAACAAGCAATCTCCTCCTCAAAGACCCTGGCAATCTCTAATCTCCTTTTTGTCCTAACATATTTACCTTCTGACTCAGAGTGACTCTGTCTGTGAGCACAATTCAACACTGGCGTCATGAACCATTCTCATCACGGGAGTTCCACTGGAGCTCACTGCTGCAGGCACTGAGTCAATTCATCTCAGTTCGGAGTCTGTCTCTTTTTCACTGAGCTTCTACTTTGCCAAACATTACTGAAGATGCTGTTGTTTTGTTAGGTGTCATCAAGCTGAGTATGACTCACAGAGACCCTATGAGAAACACACTGGAATTCTGTCCTATCCTGTGCCATCCAGAGAGGGTATAAAATGTCATGTGAGGATTTTTTTTTTATTTTTAAAATTTGTAATTACTATATATATATATACACACACACACACACACACACACACACACTGGTTTATTTACAAAGTTTGAATACACTTTTTCACACCAGATCTTGCCCATTTCCTTCACCCTCACCCCCATCAAATACGCAACCCTATGATTAACACACTCTGCCCACCCTTTCCATCCTCACCTCTCTGCTTCCACCCCCCACTCCCCCTTGGATCCTCATATTCACGCTACAATAATGGTTTTTATCCAGTATTTTTCCTTATAGGACTGAGTTAGTTCACTCAGCATAATGCTCTCCAATCCCTGCCAAGTTAGGTAGTAATTTACAAAATCATTGCTCCTGCGTGCTGCATAGCATTCCACTGTGTGAATGTCCCACAATTATGAGATGAAATTTTACCATTCTCACAGAAGCAGTCCAGCTGCACTTCTTTGCAAGATAGATTTGTCTGTCCTTCTGGTCGTCTCCATGGTATACTCAATATTTCCCCCCAATACCTTAACTCATAGGCATCATTTATTTTCCATCTTCCTTATTCATTCTCAAGCTTCCACGCACACACAAGGCAAAAGAAAATACCCAGTCCTGGGTAAGGCACACGTTGGTCCTCAGAATAGTAACACTTTAAAAGAGGGCCTTGTAAACAGATCTGCCCCAAAGAAACACATTCTTTCATTTCCCGACTGCTGTGTCCATGGTGCTGACCGTGGAGCCATGTAAAATGACATTCTTGCACACTTCAAACTTTCGTCTATTTTTCACGATGTTGATTATTTGTCAATTGTGACGATTTTGTTTTCTCTACACTGAAATGTAGCTTGGAAGCAGGAGTGGCATCCACTTCCACAATAGCTTGCCTCTGGAAAGCCTATGAACCTGGAGAGAGGATGAAAGTTACACAGGAAGTGTACAGGACTTTCATTCATAGGTCGCTATGAGTCGCCTACGACTTGATGGCACTTAATTAACAACAACAACAACATTGAAATGTATTCCATACTCAAGGCTCTAGTCTTTGAGCTTCAGCAAGTAAACACTTTCTGGTAAGAAAGGTTGTGTCAACTGCACACCTTTGACTATTAATGACTTCCTGTAATCCTGATGTTGAGTTTCCTGTAAGAGTTCAGCTCTCAGATTATCTGCTCAACAAACAGACCGAGTAAAGTACTAGGATGAGGCACAATCCTGAAACACATCTTTTCTAATCCTAAACCACACTGTTCTGGATGAATGACTGCCTCTTAGGCTGTGGTGCAAAGTAACATCATTAAATGCTCTGGAATTCCTATTCTTGCCCATAATTTATTATGATCTACAGGATCAAATGACTTTGTATAGTTTACAAACACAGGTAGGATTTCTTTCTGGTATTCTCTGCTTTCAGTCAAGATCACCCTGCAGTCAGCAATGACAGCAGTCCACATTCCATGTTCTCTTCTGAACATGGCTTGAATTTCCTTGTTGATAATTCCTTTCGGAATTATTTTCAGCAAGATTTTACTTGCATGTGATATTAAGGATATTGCTTAATAATCTCCACATTCTG